CTGGGACAGGCCAAGGCCCTGGAGGGACATGAGGAACCATGAACCTCATCCCACATGCAGAGTCAGATCCAGGAGTCACCCCTCAACCTTCTGGCAAAATGGTCTAACTTTAGCAAAGGGAATGAGTTCCCCCAAAGCAGTGCTGGGCACAAGTAATTTTCCTAAGCCTCCAGGCCTGAGAGAACAGTTATCACCCACTCCCAGCTCCAGCAAGGAGTAGCTGGCCATTTAAGACTGGGTCCTGGTTCACCCCTAATCTAATGCTCAAGAACGAGTATTAAAGAGTGAGAGGACAGCTGGGAGGGGGCACGAATGGAAAAGGGCCAGCCTGGGCTACAGATTATTACAGTCTGAACAGTTGGCCAGCCCCCCTGGAAAGTTTCAAGGATTACTCCACTCCACTCTGCAACATCCCGCTAGGGATTTACCCAAAGAAGGAAAAGCTGGGAGCTAAGAGAAGCCGCCAGAGGGCTGTTTATAGACAGACTTGGAAGACCTAAGCGGCAGGAGCACCAGTCTCAGGATGACAGCCCCGTGGCCTGGCTGGCTGGCAGCCTGAACACAGCAAGACTGAGCGTGAGGACTGCTCAGAGGACAAGGCTAGAGCATCTGGGGGTGGGGGGAGTTGCATCAGCTGGAGGATGACAGCCATGAGCCAGTGAACATTCTACTCAGGGAGTCACAGCATGTGACCTCAGGGTTGAACAGCAATGTGATGCCAAAGAGCTGAACCAGTGCCAGGCCAGAAGCCCACACAGTTATAGGGCTAACATGACATGGTAGATATGGCCCAACATTAAATGCCTGATGAACCCCAGGTCAGGGAAGGTTGGTTGTGCCAGGTCAGCAAAGGTTCTAGACTATCACCTGAAAGTGAATGCCAACATCCATGATGGCCCTCATGGCACACTGCAGTCCACAAGAATGTGACCTTCTTGTGCCCTGAGACTATAAGGTCAGAAACTGTCTGACATCTCAGACACAGACTAGACTCAAGAAAGCATCCAGAAACAGCAAAGGGCATGCAGGGGCTCTGCACACCACGTGATGAATGTGTCCAGCCTGAGACTCAGGCCCAGCAGAGCCTGAGTTTTCATTTCATGCAAAGTATATGCCATACACAGATGCTTCATTCCACGGGCTGTGAATAGCTGAGCTTCTGGATCACGGATTATCTCTTTATGCATTTAGGGGCTTTTACCCATTTTTCAAAGCATTTCACTAGCAGGAACTACATTCTTGTGTGCCAGCTATGCATCTCTAACTGCAGCTCTCACCCACCCAGCTGTGCATTCCCTGCTGCAGCAGCTCTACCCTGCCTAGTGTGAGGAACTTGACTCTTCCAGGTGCTTGAGATGAGCAGAACCAACTGTCTGCCCTGTGACTGGAGGCTTCTTTCATCCAGCAGAACTAACTTATTTATTTACTTACTTTATTTATTTATTTATTTATTTATTTATTATGTGTACAATATTCTGTCTGTGTGTATGCCTGCAGGCCAGAAGAGGGCATTAGACCTCATTTCAGGTGGTTGTGAGTCACCATGTGGTTGCCGGGAATTAAACTCAGGACCTTTGGAAGAGCAGGCAATGCTCTTAACCGCTGAGCCATCTCTCCAGCCCCTGGCAGAACATTCTTTTTTAAAAAAAATAAAAATAAAAATTTATTTATTTATTATGTATACAACATTCTGTCTGCAGACCAGAAGAGGGCACCAGACCTCATTACAGATGGTTGTGAGCCACCATGTGGTTGCCGGGAATTGAACTCAGGACCTTTGGAAGAGCAGGCAATGCTTTTAACCACTGAGCTATCTCTCCAACACCCAAAACATTCTTAAAGTGCATTTATGTTTTCAGTTTTGTGGTTGCATGACAATCTTAGCTGGACCACATTCTGTGTATGCATTCTTCACTGGATGCCTGGGTTGTTCCCACCTCTTGTCAGTTGTGAACACAGACATTCAATCCCTGTCTGAGTGCTCCCTTTCATCCCTTTGGATATCTTCCAGAAGTGGAATGGTGGATCAAGGGGCTGCCACAACTTTGGATCTACCAGAATTTTCCACGTGGTTGCACTTTTTTCTTTAATAATTTCTTTGTATGTGCATTGGTGTTTTGCCTGCATGTATGTCTGTGTGAGGTTGTCAGATCCTGGAGTTACAGGCAGTTGGAAGTTGTCATGTGCATGCTGGGAATTGATCTGGGTCCTTAGAGCAGCCAGTGCTCTTAACCTCTGAGCCAGCTCTCAGCATGCTCACACTTCTTACATCCCAACAGACTGATACACTTTCTACTGATGGCCACTAAGGCAAGCAATAGGTAGGGTTCTACAATCTTCCTGGCTTTGTTGATGTGTGTTTTTTAACATAAACTCTCTCCCCTGCTAATGACAAACATTTCCTGTAGTCTAGGAAAACCCCAAGCCCTTCCCTGTCTACTGCTGGTC